TCTTGTGCCAATGAAGTTTCCCTGGTCTTTGGGGGCTGCTTTTGTCGTTGAGATCCCTGGGTGAAAAAAAATAAATAAAAAATTGTACCAAATGGAATCAACTGTTAAATTCTTGATTTGAAGAAAAACATGAAGTTTGTTATCGCATCTTTTCGAATTGGGACGATTTCTGGGCGTTCAAAATATATTGTTTTGATTTATATATATCAGGGTTGGGAAAGGATAGTACATACATTTTGGATATAGATAAAACCAATTTCGATAGTGTATTTTTATCAGTATATTTGGTAGAGTGTAGAATAGTAAATGAATTCAGTGTGCCTGAATACAGTTTTGGTGACCTGCTAAAATTAACACCACATTGAAAATGTAACAGATATACGAGTGTTATGATTTTAGCGGTCAACTGAGACCGAAAGCGACCATAACACTCATTTTAATTTTCGTAAGCTTTTCTAACGATAAAGAGTCGACAGTGTTCTGTTGTTGTTTTTTCCCAAAAGTACCCAAAACAATTTTTTTTCTTCAGGATTTTCTATCAGAGGGCCATCGGGTATTTGAAGTAAACTGTTCTCTGAAAGACGGTTCAAAAACCAGATAAAAGTGTCGCTATCATGGCTGAAAAATTATTTTTTTTTAAAATTTCAGAATCTTCCACACACTCGACCGTTTCAATAAGAATCAGTATTAGTATCCCCTATGACTTATTCTTGACGCTGAATCTTCGTTCCCCTTGACAGCTGGAAAAGGTGAAAACAAAGAACTCCGAAATTATTGTTCAAGTAACAACTTTTTACACCACTGGGGAAACCCCAGATACTAACATTAACCTTAATCCAAAACCTTACCTTATCCCACCTTATCGCATCCCTAGGGGAAACCCAAATCCTAAAACCAAACCTTACTCCACAAATAACCCTATCCCATCTTTTTTGCATCCCGGACGGACGGACAGACAGACAGACGGACGGACGGACGGACAGACAGACAGACAGACAGACAAACAGACAAACAGACGGACGGATGTATGGATAGATGGATTGATGGATGGAAAAATGGATGGATGGATGGATGGTGGGTGGATGGATGGATGGGTGGATACATGGATGGATCGATGGATAGCTGGATAGTTAGCTGGATATAGGGATAGATAGATGGATAGATGGATAGATAGATGGATAGATGGATAGATAGATGGATAGATGGATAGATAGATGGATAGATGGATAGATAGATGGATAGATGGATAGATAGATGGATAGATGGATGGATAGATGGATAGATGGATAGATAGATGGATAGATAGATGGATAGATGGATAGATAGATGGATAGATAGATAGATAGATAGATGGATAGATAGATGGATAGATGGATAGATAGATGGATAGATAGATAGATAGATGGATAGATAGATGGATAGATGGATAGATAGATGGATAGATGGATAGATAGATGGATAGATGGATGGATAGATGGATAGATGGATGGATAGATGGATAGATAGATGGATAGATGGATAGATAGATAGATAGATAGATAGATAGATAGATAGATAGATAGATAGATAGATAGATAGATAGATAGATAGATAGATAGATAGATAGAT